GTGCTTTGGGATCCTCACGAGCTCCGTCTGCAGCTTTAAACAAACCAGACACACTAAACTGTAAAGCGGGCTGTCAGGGTCACGCCTGCGACCCCACGTTGATCTGAGGCGGGCTGCACCACTGACACTCCTGCACAGTATGACATACATGGACACTTTGGCATTTAATAAGATAACCATTGAAAAATGATGATGCAACGAGCTTTGTTTAATTAAATGTGGTAAATGTTTCCAGTCAGTCGGACCAGCAGATCTGTGACTTCACACTAAATCATTTTATGCTTTTACGATTTGAGCCATTTGTCCAGATCTTAATATCGCTGCTCTATTCACACTTCAGTCGTGAAGCGGACCAACTTGGACCCTCAGATGGGCTTGTTTTGGCCCCGGAGCCGCGTGTTTGACACCCCTGCCCTTAAACAAAGAATGTGAACAATGCGCACAGCTCAGTCCTTTCACTGCATCTTTTATTAAAGTCACGATTAGAGTGTTGAAATCATACAAAGCTGTGTGTGCTGCTTTCACTGCAGCGCTGCGACCTTTATCCAGCACAAAGCCTCCGTTCACACAGCGCTGCTGCACTTATTGTGCAGTGTTGAAATCAGAGGTGATTTATCTGTGATTCTACACTGAACACAAACAGCCAGTCGCTCCACCAGCTCTGTGACGGAGGCCGACCTCCAACAGCAAAGTTCACGCACAGCTTTGCCCCGCATGCTGACCTGTCTCTGTACGTAGGTGATACTCACAGGTGGGCCAAGCCTGCCTTACGCACAGCAGATGAAATGGCTTTGATGGCCGTCAGCATGGCGTTGATGAGCTGGGTCAGCTCACCCGTCGCCCCTTTCGCCTGGCGCCCCGTCTCGATGACAAACCGGGTCAGGGTCCATACGTCCGTCTCAAACGCCGACTGGTCCGACATCTTCTGTCCTTCCTGCTGGGCGGCGAGCTACGACTGAGCCTCCTCATTATGAGCCTCGTCCTTTTCATGCCCAGAACTGTGAAGCCGAGCCAGGGGATCTATTTGTGAGCGCAGCCGAGTGGAAGAGCGGGTGTGTACGTGGAGATGGTGTCGGGTGTCAGCTGCAGACTGGCACGCTTTAATCCTGCACAACACTTTTTTCAGCAGGTCTGCAGCAAATTCTAAACATGCATCGAGGTTTAGTCAAAAATAATCACGGCTGACTTCAAGGTTAAGGTTTAAAACATATCAGCTGCTACAAAAAAAGTTGAAGTATTTGTTTCAGTTTGATGTTGTGTGTCTTTGTGTTACAGGCTCGGGGACACAGATTCGATTCTGCAGCCGTGTTTTAGCACAACAGCAGCTCAGTGAGCTTTAAATGTCAGTCGGGCTCTGAGCTTCAGCTGACCCCGGCTTAAAGGTCGACTCCACTGAAATAAGTATCTTTGAACTTTACCCTCCAACTTGAAGATTTCTAGATATCATCGAGGGACACAAACTGAATAACTGTGAGATGATGACACACGACTGAAATGATCAAACACTCACTCGTTCTTATTATTTATTGAGACTTCATTGTTGCAAACAGCTGTTATTTCACACAATAAAAGAATCACGTTTGGTTGCAAAGAGGCTGTTTTTGGTCTTTTGCACATCTGGAATGTCTCTTTGATTTAAGGCACAACTGGAGGTAAACTGAGGAGCAAAGGTCTCAGACTGAAGTGCGTTTGTGTGTTTTTGGCACATTTTTGGTCTTTGGTAGCTTTTGTTTAGCAGTATGTGAACTTATGCAGCACCTCTTAACAATGGGAGGGCTAACGTGGCATGAAAACACGGTGCCTCCAAATCTCTTCACATTTTTGGTCTTTAAAACCCATTTTTACATAAAAACCATCATTACAGAGGCGGTAACGTGCATCCCAGCAGGAGGGCAGCTGTGTGAGTCCCGTGCGGTCTCACTTCTTGGCGTGTTTCTGGCAGATGGCGATGTACTCCAGCACGTCCTCGGTGGAGCCCATAGCCACAGGAGCTCTTTGGTGGATGCTCTCAGGCTGGATGTCCAGGATGTTCTCGAAGCCCGTGGAGGCCATGCCGCCCGCCTGCTCCATGATGAAGGCCATGGGGTTGCATTCGTACAGCAGACGCAGCTTTGAGTGAGAGGGGAGGGAAGGTGT